AAGGAGGGAGTGATTTCAGCCTATGTTGGGTGGGTATGTTGTTGTTGTTGTTGTTGTTGTTGTTGTTGTTGCGGTGACTGTTGTTTTGGTGCTGGTGGTGGTTTGTTGTGTGGATGTTGTTTAGGCCACATGTCCAAATAGACACCAGCTCGTCTGGCACGAAGGGTTTGCTGGACTATGAGTAGTCCGTAGTCAAACCAGCACAAGCCAGCATGCGCCAGTGGAAAGCAACCTGAGGAGTGTGCTGGCGCTGTCCTGCAGTTGGGGACCTCTCATTTTTTCTCTGTTTGCTCTTTATTTTTATCCAGAATTAATCTTGGGTCCCCCCCCCCAATTTTATCCAGGCCTGGAGCGAGGCTTTTTTGGCGTTGGGTTCTTTTTGCAGGCTGAAATCAGTCCTGCTGGAGTCAAGCCTGTCTTGGGTACCTCCCTTTCTATTCTTCCTTCTTTCTTTTTAGCCACTTCAGGGGGATCCAACCCCATAGTGAGTAGTAGACCGGGGATATTTAACCAACATTTGCCAGTGCTTCGGAAAATCTATTGTATGGAATACTTAGCTATATTGACCGTTAAAACCACCCATCCCATCCAGGCAAATCTTCCATACCGCCGCCCGCCAGGTCCTTTGTGGGCTCCTTTGTGTCCATGTCAACCAATGGATCGAGCCGCATGGAACAGTGCCAGCGGAGCTGCCAAGTGATGTGAACCGAGCCCAACGGTGCAGTGGCGCCGCTGGTGGTTCGGAAGGTCCGAACGCTCGACGTTCGGAAGGTCCGAACGACGCCAGCTGGCGGCGGATCGTTTCGCTGCGACATGGATGTACACGGATCATTCTTGGGGTTTGATTCACCTGGAGGTAGACGATGTTGGCAAATGAGCCAATGAGCCTCTAAAGAAGTAACTTTGTGAAGGGTAGGGCGTTGCTGGTGTATGCACCACAACATGCACAAGGCAACGATACTGAATGATACTGAATGATTGATTTCACATCAGATCAAAGGGAGCGAAGGGAGCAATTGGGCAGAAGCAAGAATCATCAAGAATCATTGAGTAACAAGGGAAGAGCTTGAAGACCTTCCCCCTTGACGCGAGGACCTTCTACAATACCCTTCCCCACATCAAGATAGCCATCATGTTTAGCTTGGGGGAGTGTAAACCCTTCTGCAACACAACGCAGCCACATGTTTCACCGCGGAGAAGCGTTCTCTCCGCCGCTCGCCGCTCGTCTTGCAAGACGACCAAAAGAGACGTGAAAAGTTTCCGCTGAGCACTGCAGCTGCGGTGGAGACGGAAGGATGAACTCAAGGAGCCGATTTGGCCAGCATTCATGTGGTTTTCCATGGTGTTCCATGAGCATCAACAGTTTTTTTTGTTCTGTGTTTTCAACAGGGCAGGTGACTCGGTGACCAGCGGATGGAACATAGGAACATATAGGAACCATCGGTCTTTTTATGTCTGTTTTGTGCCATGATTAGTGTCGATCCCATGATATCTAAGACCTCCTATTCCGACAAAGGCCCCACAAACGACCAGAACTATAAGGTCCCACTGAACCATCAAACAACCATTGAACACAACAAATAACAAACAAAACACCACGGATCAGTGCCTCCCAACCTTCGCGTTCGTGAAAAAACGTCCAGTCCAGGACTCCCACGCGTTCGCGCCTCTCAGGCCCTGCATCAACTTTGGGGAGCGTTTACTCCAGGCTGTTGCCAGCGACACCGTCCAGCTGGTCAACAAGGCACCGGTCAAAACGGTCAGCATACCACCCGGTTAAAACAGCTCGGCTTCGTTCGCGACTCGGCAAGGAATTCTGTCAAAGTCGGGTTCGGGTGTATGTCAAGATAGTTGGGGTCATATATATATATATATATAACTCAAGTTATATATCTTGAGTTAGTTGGGAGTTGAGTTAGTTATATAGTTAGTTAGTTGAGTTAGCTAGTTGGGACAAGATATGTCAAGATTACCCCCCCTGGCGGACGATCCCACGGACCCTGAGCATATTTTTATTTCTTGGGAGCAACGATTTCCCGCACAACCCAGTGGTGTTGAGAGTCCATGTTGATCGCGGACAAGAACGACTTGCAGCTGAAAGGTCGGTGTTTCTATTTTGTGCAACCGCGAGGAGTCACAAGATTTCAAGGTCAGTGTGTGGAACTCTTAATTGCGTGTGTGGCAGTATGTTCTCACTGAAAGACCATTAAATACTGGAAATATATACCAAGAACCTGCGGATATCTGCGGATACACCCCACATACAGGTACCCTGGTTTCCATGCCATCTTCAAACCACTTGGATGGATAACAGTGGTTTATGTGTTTAACCCAAAACCAGTGGGCCAAAATGATTGGAATTCTGTTGCGAAAGCCATGTCGCATTGTGTGGCTGTTTTGGCTGGGAACAGGCTTAGCCCAAAATTGCATAGCGGATTGAGTGGCTGCCCCTCGGGCCCACGAATTCCCGGAGGTTCCAGACTCTCGCATGATGTCATGGTTTTGCTCTAAGTCGATGAACAGAACAGAGCTCATGTTGTGCCCCGTGTTGGATAAGAAGAGTGACCAGGACACTTCAGTGTTCTGCAGTGTCCTGGACTGCAATGCATAGGTTTTTTTCCCCAGGACCTCTTGAGTTGATTGGTTGGACTGGACTGCCGCCATGGCCTGGACTTCCGTCACCTGGACTGCATGGCCTGGACTGCCGCATGCGCCACTGGGCTAAACGGATCGCTGGGAGCAAGGGGCTGCCGATTTCACCGTTCGTGGAAGAGGTCGAGAGATGTCGAGAGAGGTGAAATCGTGGAACCTCAACGGGAGAACACCTATGCCTATGATTGCCTATGCCTATGAGCACTATCCAACACCCCAAACATCCACAGAGAATGAATCCTTGGACTTGTCTGTCACTCATCCTCACTTGGTGACTCCGGTATTTGGCATGGCCTCGCGTATACGCCTCGCTTAGTATGCTCGGCCAGGACATGGACCCTGGGCCTCGCCACACTCCTGGCGCCCTGCCGACGCGATCGTGGATGCCGGGGACGTGGGCACGGAGGGGTCCTGCGTTCGGTGCGATGAAGTGTTTGGGAGGAGTTGAAGGATTTGGAAAGATCGCCTTTTTTCATCGCAAAGGGTCCTTCGAAAGAAGAGGTGTCCAACTGTCGCTTCTTTGCAAGACATTTCATAATAGCTTCTTGCTAGTATTATTAAGTAATGCACTTGTTACTATTATAGTACTAATGCAACCTGGAATCTCCCAGCATCGGCGATCCAAAACCTTTGCCAGGTGCAGCACGCGAGTTGCGCGGTGCGTCACTTGACCCCCACCTGCGCCGCCACCTGGGGAGAGGTCCAGGACGGGTGTTTTTGAGCTCCGTGTCGGGTTTGCGGGGTTCGGAGGAGTGATCAGGAGCGATCATGGCAGTAATGTCCTCTATATATATGCTGTGGCGTCCCCGTAACTAAAGGTGAACCCCCTTAATTCGATGTCGCTCCGCAGCTCCGGCTCAACTTATGTGGGGGGCACACACCGCATTGTCGGTGTGGTGTGTGTTCCACACTGCGGCGAGTCTGCCATCATATAGCAGACTTCTCGCCGAAGCCGGGGTACATCCCTTTTGCTGCTGACCGGCTTCGAGTTCTTGCTGGTGAGCTGTGTGATTGGGGCGACAGCTACTTTGCATCGGGGGGCGGCACACCCCGGTGCAGTGGTTGCTCCTCAGGCGGGGCCTGGAAGGGAGGAAGGCAGGAGCAAAAAGGATCCCGCAGATCCACCGACAGAAAGGAAAGAGCAGGCATCTGGAGGCATCGCAAGTGGCAAAGGTGAGGAGGTCAAGGAAAGAAAAGGGACCCGTCGTGAACGTGACAGTGGAGCACATCGTGGACAGGCAGAGAAAGGTGCCGTCAACGTCAAAGAGGAACCCAGTGAGGACAGTGCATTCAACTCAGAGGAAAAGGGCCTTCGTACAACAGCCTCCAAGAGCTTTGCACGGCCTGCTCCTTTAGGAAAGCGGGTTGAGAAAGGAGGAGAAGGTCCAGCCCAGGAGATCAGTGAAGAGGAGGTCGCAACCGAGCCCGAGACAGAGGAGGTGGTTGGGAGCGAAAGGGAGAGGAAGAAGCCCATCTCTCCTCGCTCACCGTCAGTCAGAGACAAGAAAAGATCAAGGAGAACAAGATCTCGATCCAGAAGGAGAAGGCGAAGGGAAGACAGTGGCAGAGATCGGGTTGAGAGAAGCCCGGAACATTATCAAGAGGAGGTCGAACGTGCACGAGACGGCCACTCTTCCTCTGCTCACCCAGAAGCTCATCCAAGGCCTACTCGAAGGCCTAGTACGTCTTTGCCAAGGAGGCCAAGAAGCCCCAACTTTCCCCCTCCTGCAAAGGGTAAAGGTCGAGGTCGTGGGTGGCACGGTTATCCTCCTCGACAAGAGTGGACAAACAAAGGGGTGAAAAAGGTTGGGCGGCAATTGGAATTCAAGGAGTACCTCGCCTACAAAAAGTACAGGTGAGGAGGGGGGTGCATGGCCCCTAAGAGAAGGCCAGCTGCCGCTGGTGAGGCGGGAGGAGACAGGAGGAGAGTTAGAGTGAGGCCAGCTGCAGTCGTTCCTCCCGCTCCTGCAAGAGAGGAACTTGCTACGGGAGCATGGGTGGAGTCAGGAGGGATGGCAGTTACAGACCTCACCCCAGGAAAGAAGTTCCAGATCGAGGCACTCTACTGGGACAAGCCCGTCGAAGCAGCAGCAGAGCTCGTTGGCGTGGCCATCAAGGCAGGGCAGATGGAGGTCAGCTTCCGAGTCAGTGGCACCTCAGACGAACAACTTCTGAAGTGGCTCACCGCAGAGGAAGATCGGGTCCTTCGAGGTCACCTCTGCCCCGCAGGATGCACCAACAGCCCCCAAAGCGAGGACTTGATCCACGTGAAGCGTCTTCGGTTGTTGGAGGTCGACACCCCTGCATGGGCACAGAACCTCAAGGAGGCAGCAGAAGCAGAGGTGTTGAGGAGGCTAGCAGCCGAGTCCGACAGACGAGCCCGAGAAGCCAGAGGCAAAGGAGTGGGAGCTCCTGCGGGGGAGGCCGCAAAGGGAGCAGACACAAGCGAGAGTTCAGGCAGCTCGGACTCCAGCAAGGAGAAGAAAAAACGAAAGAAGAAGAAGAAAAAAGGAAAGAAGAAGAAGAAGAAAGGCAAGGCATGGAAGGTCGAGGGCAAGAAAGACTTGAAGCAGCTGTTCCAACACACGGGCCTGGATCCAGACGCCAGCATCAGGAGAGCTGTCATGAAGAAGGCCCGCAAAGGTATGCAGAAGAAGAAGGACGATTCAGAAGCCTCTACAGGGAGCAGCAGTGGAGAGAGCAGGTCAGCAAGCGCAGGCGAGGAGTTGTTCGAGGATTCTCACCGAATCCGGAGGGCCGCAATGAAGGGGCCAGGGGCCCTCTCGTGTCAGACGATCCAGAACATGTCGAAGTACTTGTTGACGGCACAGGGTTTGCCGGTCGCGCCTCGAGAAGGAGCTCTACCTGCCATTTGCCTTCAATACCATCGACAGGTGCTTGCCGGACGGCTCTCGCCCCCGCTGGCCAGGGAGAGCTTGAATCTATGTGCGGCAGCGGATGCTATCTTGGACGGGCAAGCTGCGCTGGGAGTGGATATACTCCTGCAGCGACTGAAGTCAGTGGAGGCCTTGGGAGGAGGCACTACTTGGGCAGCCGCCCAGAAGCTCGAACTGACACCCGCGGAGTCATCTCAACTCGTGGACCTCGAGGAGAGTCGATCTGCAAACAGGGAGTTGAGGGAGGAGCTGAAGAACAAGCAAGCAAGCCAACGTATTTGGCCGAGTGCCAAAGGCGACAGCAAGAGCGGCAGCAAGACAAAGGCGGAGGAATCCAAGGGCAAAGGCAAGAAAGACAAGGGGGGCAAAGACAAAAAGGATCGAGAAAGGGAGAAAGAGAAGTGAGATCTCCTCTCGAAAAGTTCACTGGGCAGGTCATTGAGAATGAGTTGAAGCGCATTGCACAAGAAGTTCATGATGGGTTGCAGCACGATGCCACAGAGAAGCCAGATGCTATCCCGGGTGAGATGCAGTATGATCACTCGGATGCGGCCATTTTGGCCGGTACAGAGCGCAAGGGGAGTGCCGTCCCTGAGCGCATTTCACATACCGAGCTCGTTGAGCCTGAAAACAAGAGTTTGTGCGGCTTGGGATTCGAAGACGTCGTCGGGGGGCTGGTGGGGGAGCTGTGGAGTTTTCTTCGCAAGACCACGACCCCGGGTGAGGTGTTCCCTCTACCTGTCGACACCGCCCTGAACCAGCCTTTCCTTTCCCACTTGTCGGAGGGTGTTCGAAATGTTCTTCGTGGAGTGGTGTTGGGACTGAATGACGTGTATGACACCAGGCCGCAACCAAGTGAAACAGTTTCACCTTTGCATGTACGTATACTTCTTTTACTGAGTGAGGAGGTGGTTAGATTCCTTGAGAAGTTGCCCAAGTTTGGGGATCTAAGCTGGAAGGAGTTCCTAAAGGTGAGGACCATAGATTACAAGGGAGAAGAGGTCAGGACAGCTCAACAGACTTCATGGGAGAACATCTCTCCTGCACTTCCGGATGAAGTAGGCACAGTGGAGTTGGAAGATGTTGTAGGAGGAGGATGTCTTCACTATATCCACCATTTCGAGGAATATCTGGTCCCCCGTGAAGCTCAGACCTACACCAAGCCCCCCCAAGGTCATGGTGGGAATGGACCAATGGGAGTCATTCTGCCAAGGACTCCTGTCCCGGGGGGGTTTGTGGAGTCATACCTGAGAGCCAGGTCTTCCATGTGCAGGGCAAACCATTGCTCAACGGTCTATTTGGAGTTTTGAAGGAGGAGACCCACCAAGGACAAGAGGTTCACCGTCTGATTATGAATCTGGTGCCTTTGAATAAGCTGTGTCGTTCGATCACAGGTGACGTCTCCACCCTGCCCAACTGGCCGAACATGAACGCCTTCCAGATCCATCCCGACGAGGCGCTACTCGTAAGCAGCGAAGATGTGCGCTGTTTCTTTTACCTGTTCCGGGTACCAGTGGGGTGGAGGCCGTACTTGGCGTTTTCTAGACCTGTCCCCCGAACCTATGTGGTGATTCGTCGGAACCGCACTATTTGACTTCCCTGGTTTTGCCTATGGGGTTTTGCAACAGCGTGTCACCTGCACAACACGTACACCGTTATGTGGTTGGAAGAGCGCTGGGTGAAGCCCGCTCGCTTGGATTGAGGGGAGGCTGGGAGTCGGAGTTGAGGAAAGACCGACCCCTCCCAATCAGCAACCCCGTTCACAGGGTCTACCTAGATAACTTCGACCCTGGAGCGCGTCAACAGTTCCATGGCAGAGGTGGTTCAAGGAAGCGTTGCACCACTAGCCTCATCTCTCCGACAGGTGTATGAAGAGCTTGCTATTCCCAGACATCCCAAGAAGGCGGTGGAAAGGCAGTTCCAAGCTGATGTGCAAGGCGCTCTGGTGGATGGTCGAGACGGATGTGCGAGGCCTAGGCCAGAGAAGATCATGAAGTATGTTCAACTTAGTGTTCTTCTCTTGAGTGAGACCCGGTGTACCCAGAAACAGATTCAAGTGGTCGCAGGGGGGCCTGGTCTACATGGCGATGTTCCGAAGACCTCTCCTCGGCACGCTGAATGCCGTTTGGGAGTTTGTGACAAGCTTTGATGAAGGACCTCGGGTCCAAGTCATCCCTTGGAAAGTGAGGAGTGAAATTGCGCGTTTCTGCCTGCTTATTCCACTTGCAAGGATGGACTTCAGGACAACATTCTCTGGGGTGGTGACTGCCAGCGACGCATCTACAACGGGAGGTGGGCTCACAGCCAGCAAGGGACTCACCTCCTTGGGATGTATGGCATCGAATCAAACTGTTCGAGGCGACATTGTGGAACCAACCGAAGTGACCAGCGTGCTGACTATTGGGTTGTTTGATGGTATGGGAGGTCTTCGGGTAGCAGCTGACGCCATAGGTCTACCCGTCGTTGGGCATGTGAGCGTGGAGAAGCATGGGCCGGCACGGCGTGTTGTGGAGAGTAGGTTCGCAAACACCCTGTTCGTGGAGGACGTGGCTCAGGTGGACCAGGAGATGGCTCGCGAGTGGGCGTGCCAGTTCTCTCAAGTCGGCCTTGTCGTGATAGGCGCTGGACCCCCCCTGTCAAGGAGTGTCGGGACTTAATGCCGACCGACGAGGAGCTCTTCGCGACCATCGAAGCTGTTTGTTCACTCACGTGGAGAGAGTTCATGAGTTGGTGCGAAAGGCATTCCCTTGGGCCCAGGTGCACAGGTTGATGGAAAGCGTAGCATCCATGGACTCAGGTGACCGAGCTTTGATGAGTGAATCGGTAGGGTCCTGCCCCTACCTGATTGACCCAGTCAAGATATGTGGATGTCGGAGGCCGCGCCTTTTCTGGCCTACATGGGAGCTGCGGGAGGCAAACGGTGTTCAGATCTCCTCGTCCGAAGGGGACGCATGGGAGGCCATCACTGAGGTCAAGTTGGAGGCCCGCTATGACATCAATGCATTCCTCGAACCAGGCTGGACAAAAGTGTCGGATGAGAGTTTTCCTACCTTCACTACATCAAGGCCGAGAGCAAGTCCGGGAAGGAAGCCTGCAGGCATCAAACAGTGCACGGAGAACGAGCTCAGGGACTGGGCTGAAGATTGGCATCGTTTCCCACCATACCAATATCAGACCAAGTTCAGGGTACAAGACAAGCATCAGAATACACGTCTCCTGAGTTGTGATGAAAGGGAGGTGTTGATGGGGTTTCCCAAGGGATATTCCACAGCTTGCTACCCGAAAGGGGAACAAAAGACACAAGCCTGGCAGGATGAACGTCTCACGCTTATTGGTAACAGCTGGAACGTCTTTGTCGTGGCATGGCTTCTTAGTCAGTTGTCAGCCGTCTTGGGTTTGGGACCGGTGCTAAGTTTGGAGCAGGTGATGCAACAATGCTCTCCAGGTGGGGGCCAGACACTTCAGAGTCTCCTTCTTCGACCCTTCATGCGGGTGCCTCGGCAACAGGCTGAGGATGGAAATGAGGCTCAGTTGGTCAAGAAGCTCGCTGGTTTGGCAAGCCTCAAGGGAGAAGACGTTCTCCTGCAGGCACAGACAGAGGATCCGGTTCGATACCATCGTCTCAGAGCAAGTATACCGGCCAATCTCTGGCGCTGGCGCACCATTTGTGGGTGGACATGGAGTGGACAGCATGAACACATTAACAGTCTTGAGTTGCGAGCTGTTTTCACCAGTCTGCGTTGGAGGATCTGCAAGAAAGGTTGGTTGCGCAGTCGGTTTGTGCACCTTGTTGATTCCCTCGTGTGTCTTCACAGTCTCGCAAGAGGACGCTCCAGTAGCCGCAAGTTACGACGAACTTTGATGAGGATTAACGCTCTCCTTCTCGCCTCTGGAAATCAAGCCCATTGGGCATATGTGCATACGTCGCAAAACCCGGCTGATGCTCCCAGCCGGAAGCCTGTAAAGAAACGATGGGTAAAGTAGGCAAGGTTTTGATAGAAGGAGGCAGTAGAGAAGAGCGTAAACGTCAAAGAGCGGCTTTAGGAAGTTTGCAGTCCCTTACGGTTCAACCACGCACCCGAGAACGATACAACCGTGCACTAGAAGGGTTTTGGGCTTTCCTACGTGAAGAGCAGCGTGAAGTTCCTACCTCACACTCAGGGCTTGATGTTCTCCTTCAGCAATACATAGAGCACTTATGGAGCGAAGGACATGGAAGGGCCCAAGCAAGTGACACGGTTGCGGCTCTACAAGACGCCCAACCACAGGTCAAAGGTCACCTCGGTTGTTGAAGGCGTGGAGCATGAACGAAGTGCCAAACCGGGCTCCACCACTCCCGGAAGAAGCTCTCCACATGATGGTCGGTTATGCCATAGCCAAAGCAGAATACTTGTTCGCATTGTCACTCCTGGTGGGTTTTTACGGAACCCTTCGGACGGGGGGAAATCTTGAATTTGAAATCCTCCGATGTCAGTATCCATACTGCACAGGGTCCAGCTGTCATTAGTTTGGGTTTGACGAAGGGTGGTAAGAGACAAGGAGCTTCAGAGAGCGTGTCACTCACCGTTGAAGAACCACTGCGTTGGCTTTTCGCATGGACTCGGGACTCGAATGCGCGCAAAGTGTTGTGTCCCTCCCCTAGTCACTGGCGGAAATTGTTTAACACCACCACTGAAGCGTTAGGTTTTTCCGAATTGGGGTTTCGACCCTACTCACTTCGAAGAGGTGGGGCCACGTGGTGGTTTCAGCGTTGGGGGTCTTTAGATAGACTTTTAGTCTACGGGAGATGGCAAGCGGCGAAGACCGCCAGAACATACGTCAACAGCGGTTTAGCAGCACTGGCAGAGATGCGGTTGCCTCGAACAACTCAGAATAAGGGTTACCTCCTCCAATTTTTGAATTCAAAGAAACATGTTATTCCGTCGCTTGAGCCTACCCTTAAAAAGGGTAGGGCTGGGGGGCGGTGGAAAGAAGGCCAAAAAGAAGGCCAAATCTAAGAGAACCAAGAGGTAAAAGAGTGTATTTTTTCGCGCAGGGAGCGAATTTTTTAATGAGCACCATGGGGTTTACATTCCTTCGGTTTGGCGGAGGGATGTAAACGTGGTGACCAACAGTCCTTCGGGCTAGAAATGTTCTTCCGGTTTGGCGGAAGCATTTCTAGGGAGGACAAAGGGATCTGAGGGTGATCCCTAAAGATGATTTCAACCAATTTTCATTTCAAGTTTTGACAAACCTGGTCTTGCGAAGAAAAGAGGGACAGAGGATGGGGAGT